TAGCCCAGGTTCATACCAGACAACCCAATCCCAGTTGATATTTCCAGGAAGCTAATGCACTTTAATTCCATCTTCTTCCTCAAAACCCTGGGGTCCCACCTACTTCTTATTCTCTGCAGGTGCTAAGAACCATTAGCTCCAAAACCCAGACTCTTTCACAGCACCTAATCTGAAGCTCTAATCCCCAGCAAAATTTTCCAGGGCCCCCAAGCCTTCCAAAGAATGCTGTTCTACCATCCCAGTATGCTCCGGTTCTCACTTGGCTTCAGAGTGCCTAAGAACCACCGGGACAGCTAACGTTAAACATGCAGATTCCCAGGCCCCACCTTGAGAGATTTTTTTTTTTCCCCACTCAGTAGGCCCCTTGTGAGGCTCTGGAATATGCATTTAAAACAAGCACAGCAAGTGATCTGATGCAGCCCAGCACTAACCTAGACTCTCCAGCCTGAGCCCCCAAGCCAACGAATACCTTGGGATATAAACTCTGCGTATCTGTGCCCACATTTATAACCTTCCCTTCCCTCTATCCTTCCTTGCAAAGAGATGAGTGAATAAGCTGACTGCTGCTTGTACTGGACAGACCACATATGTCTTCATCACTGTGGGACTCAGTTTACATCTGGTCAGGGTCACGTCACAGCTGTCCCGCTGACCTCACAGCTATGGCAGTCTTTTACAAGGAAAGGTGACTTAACAGAGGGAACAATGCTTCTCCAGAGGCAAGCTGCAGCCTAATTCTCTTTCTAAAGTATTTCCTTTCTGACGCCTATTTCAGCTGACCTTTCAAAGGCAGGGGTTCTTTAAATTAGTTTCCAATAATGGATTTCTGTTGTAATTGTTTGGTAATTTCAAATTTATCATTGTCTGACATTATCTATGCTTTACACAAGTAACTTAAAAAGAAAAAAGGAGTCACAAAATAGATTATCTAGAACTGCCTGGATGTTTTAAAAGAATTTTAAATTTTGAACATATCAATATTGTTTTCCATATGGACATGTCAACTATTTTCAAATCTAAGGGCCTCGCTTCTATACCAGGCACATCCAAGGACTAAGGTGAAAGCAATCTGATAAGAAAAAAAGGCAATTTGAATAATGCAGTGTAATGGAAAGATCTCTGGACTCTGTGCCTGCTGTGTTCCAAGGCCAGTTCTGCCATGGCTCGGCTGTGTGACCTGACTGTGGGGCCAAGGGCAATTACTTCCATCTTCAACAGTGATGGAGGATATACATCAACCTATGACTTCACAGAGGCATTGGAAGACAACCATCTACATGGAATGACTTAAGCTGCTGCTACTTCAAAAGAATACATTCCAAAGTACCCAAGTGTTTCATTTTGAAATGCTGGTGGTATCTCTACACTGGAAAGTTCATTTACTTAGGTGATTCACTGAGAATCTCTCTGCACAAGGCTTTATGCTAGGTACTGAAGAGGAGTAGAGAAGAAATCAATGTTAAGGCGTTTTGAATATGTTCCACATATTTGCAACCTAGTGGGAGAAACAAAGCATATGCACCATAATGATTTCATCATTTCTAGGTGGCAAAGTGAGTAGTTCAAACAGTGCTATGGAGGGGCGCCTGGGTGGCTCAGTGGGTTGAGCATCCAACTCTTGATCTCAGCTCAGGTCTTGATCTCAAGCACCACACTGGGCTCCACACAGAGCCCACTTAAAAGGGGCAGGGGGAGCGTCTGACTCTTGGTTTCAGCTCAGGTCCTGATCTCAGGATCAGGAGATTGAGCCCCACATCAGGCTCCACGCTCAGTACAGAATCTGCTAAAGTTTCTCTCTCCCTCTGCTCCTCCACCCTCCCCTGCACTCCCATGCATGTGTGCACGTGTGCTCTCTCTCTCAATCTCTCAAATAAATAATTTAAAAAAAAAAGGCAAACAGTGCTATGGATTGATCATTCTACTGCCAGTCTTCTTGTCTATGAGATAATACACTGCACATCAATCCTAAGAAACAGAATGTGCAAGCCAGATGGACGTCTGGTGTCCAATCCCTGTGACAGTAGACTCTTCTGGGAGCTCAGTGAAGGGAAAGATGTGGGGAAAAAGCTTCTCAGAGAAAGTGAATCTCTGTAAATCACACTGGGTATCTTATCTACACTCTCTTTCAATCGTAATAATCCTGTGAAGTACGACCGTTCTCATTTCACAGATGAAAAACGGATTCAGAGATTAAGTAACACGGCCGTGACACAAAGCAGGTAACAAGGTCAGGATGTGAATCTAAGTCTCTGTCTGCATCACTCAGCTCTACCATGGGTCCATGATTGTGATTAGCATGTAAAGACAGGGGAGAAGGCATTTTGGTAGAAGGATCAAAATAAAATAAGCCTAAGCTTGAGGCTAAAAGAGGGTGGCCAACTCAGTGGAAAGGGGAAAAAATGCACTGAGCAATTAGGGGAAATAAGGTTAAGGGTTAGCTTAGAAAGAGGCTGGAATCCAGATGACTAAGAAATGTGGGCTCAGTCCTATTGGCAAGATGGAACTGCAGACTGTAAGCAGGAGAGCAGCTGATAAAATCAGGGCAATAATGAGGAAGGTAAACTTCACAGCAGGACAGAGACGGACTGCAAATGAGTGACATAATGTAGAACAAATTACCATTTAACATCCTGGGCGCTTCAATATTGTGACAGACTCAGGAGTAGCTGTAGTTTTGTAATAAATGATCAAACTATCTCAAACTATGGCTCTCTCTTAAAACATCTCTAGGCATGTTTTTAAAAATGGCTATTACGTCCTACTAATTCTTACATGGGTCAGAAACTACTGCCATGTCCAAATGCATCGAAAAAAGAACACCCCTTTGGTCAGAGGCCACATTTAAGAACCTTGAACTGCATACCTCAGAGCGGGAAGGGCCAAAAAGAGAGATTCCAACCCACAAACTTTTTTTTTTTTAAGATTTTATTTATTTATTTGACACAGAGAGACACAGCGAGAGAGGGAACACAGGCAGGGGAAGTGGGAGAGGGAGAAGCAGGCTTCCCATTGAGCAGGGAGCCCGATGCGGGGCTCGATCCCAGGACCCTGGGATCATGACCTGAGCCGAAGGCAGACACTTAACGACTGAGCCACCCAGGCGCCCCTCAACCCACAAACTTCTTGGTAAGAAAAACAAAACTATAGGAAAGTTGGATCTTCACATATAAACTGGCACTCAAAACTTCTCTCAGGGGAATAAAGTTAAGGAGTGACAAATTAGAGACTGACTTTCACATAACCCAGATTTACATTCTCACTCAAATTCATAGTCCCCACTTCTACAAAAATCAATACAAAAGCATCATCCCCACTACTTAAGGGCCAAATTTCCTTTCTCTTTCATGGCTATAGAGCTTTTTCTTTTTTCAGGTTTGGACTGATGAATAGTGACTCCTTGGCAACATATAAGCAATCATCAGAATTCTCAAGTTCTCCATCCCGTTCAATCTTTGCCACAGGAAAATTCAACGGCATTTCATAACCTAACACTGAACTGCATCGAGCCAACGCTCCATATTGCTTAAACACATTTGAGACCTGGTGTAGGATCGTATTAAACCCTTCAGTGACTATCAGATAGTCAACAATAACCTAATTAGCCAGCAGAGCACACGTGACGCCGGCCTAGCCAGTACCCTAGTCAAAGACATTATGCTGGATTCATTCACCAACAAGGTGATCACCTTGCAGAGGGGAACTGGGAGAGAATAAGGAAACCTGGCAAGGAAAATGTGGAGGGAAGCGTGCAGCTGGGGCTTTCAACGAGGATTCCAGTACATGAAAGTGGCAAAGGAGTGGGCTGAGGAAAAAGTAATCATCTTTTCTGCAAAACATCTCATGTCAAGTAGATTGGGACCTCACTCCCAATTTTGCACCGGAACTTTAAATTGAACCTTCCAGAAAGTTAAGTGAGTTTGAGGTTCCAGAGCATAGGAAGTGCCCAAACCACATTTTGATGTCCTCATATCCCTACGAAGGAAATACGATCCCTCTGCCTAAGTCCCAAGGTATTTTAGCTCATTTAGGGAAAGGTAAGCTTCCCCAAAATTACATTTGCTTCTGAGGTCAAGGACATTCTCAGACTAGGACCTTTCAGTCTAGAGGTAAAGTATTAAACCCAAAGTAGAACAAAGTTATTCAGAGACAAGAAACCCAAGGGGCTGACGGTATGCTAAAAGAAATGCACATTTTTATTTATTCAGGACAAGCCAAAAGAACCTACAAATACTTAATTTACAACTCTAACAGCCAGAGCCTATTTTCTCAAAGCCTCAAGAACTTGGCTTGACCGAAAAGTCAATCTGCAGTGCCAAAATTCTCAAGAATGGTCTCTGCCTGTCAACAGGAACTTAACCTGCTTTGTGCTTCAGCTGTATAATATTTAAAAACCAAGTAAGTCCTTCAGGATCTCAAGAGTATCGACTGTTCTTTTTTCTGCCTTAAAGGCTGGTCAGGCAGGCTTTGGTGCCCAGATAAGGTATGTCGATTTGTGCGTGGACTCTAACGTGCCGTTATGGGTCCATGACACAAGAAAAACAAACCAAAAAAAACCACAACACAACAACAAACTTCTCTTTTCCTCTGCTAAGCAATAAAGATAAATTTAGCCGCCACCTCTCAAACAAAGTGGGTGGGAAGGAGCGCGCCCCGAGTTTGCCGCATCGCAACGCCGACCCCGGCTCGCTGGAAGCCGGTCTGCAGCTTCGCTCTCCCGCCGTAGGCGCTGAGGCCGAGCAGGGCGCAGAAGGCCGGCGACGCTGTCATGCCCGGGCTCCCGGGCCTGTGGCGACTCCGGCTGGGCCTTGGGGCGGCCGCAACCTACCAGCTCCCGGACCGGCCGCGCCGGGAGAGGAGGGCGCCGACTGTCTGGGGCTCCCACACCGGCCCGCAGCCCCGGGACTCAGGAGCCCGGCCCGAGGCGGGTGGCCCGCACCTGCCGCCCCGCCCGCCGCCCCTCAGGCCCCTTCGCTCAACGGCCTCCGGCCCGCAGGACTCACAGCTTCAGCCGCTCGTAGGTCGCCGCCGCCATCGTGCACCACTCGCTCCTTCTTCCTCTTTCCGCCTGCCCCGCCCCGCGCCGCCACCTCAGCCACCGCGCTACCGTTCACCCAGCTCCGCGGCCGCAGCGCCCGGGTCGTCCCGCCCCTCTCCCCGCCCCACCCGGCCCCCAGCGGACGGGAGGCGGCCGCGGACAAACTTAGTGCGAGCTCTAGAGAGTGCGAAAGAAGCTGTCCGGCGCGCGTATTGGAGCGCGCCGAAGAGCGCCGTGACGTAGACGCTGCGGATTGGCGGAAAGCGTTTACTAGAGAAAGGCGGAGCCGTGGGAGCTGTGGGCGGGAGCCGCGGCGCCAGGGCAGAAACGCTGCGCTGGTGTAGAGAAACCTGTTGAAGCTGCGACAGGGGTGATCTACATCACTGCGAGGGTTGGGCTAGCACAGGGCCAGTGGCGCAATGGATAACGCGTCTGACTACGGATCAGAAGATTCTAGGTTCGACTCCTGGCTGGCTCGAGGCGTGCTTTTTGCCCCGTCTGCTTTGATGTTACAGGGTCTCCCTGGAAAGGACTCTGACTAGAGTGTGAAGGTTAAATATCTTGAATTTTACCGCCACTTTGCCTGAAATGTTATCTTTTCAGCTGTGTCTGGCACCCGGAGTTGTGTGAGGTGGTTTGTAAAATTGCAGAGCTTCCTGTGATGATGCAGGCGTCCCGATAGATGGGGTACATACAGGAAGACACCCCTGAAAAGGTGGCCGTTTGGAACGGGGGGGGCGCGCTATGGCCGGAGGTTGGCCACCTGATGACACCGAAGCGGATTCCAGGCAGCGGGTCTGGCCTTCTTCCCTGGGGCAGGGAGCCCCGTAGTGACGTGAATAGCGGCGCAGCCCGTTTCCCGGGACGTCGTGGGCTCCCCCGCAGCCTTGTCCTCGGAGGGCTCCTCGTGCAAAGGCCGCCTGGCCCTCAGGTTTCCCTGGGATGCCCTAAAACATGCGTGTTTTTACGGTGAGATCACCCCCAGGTTATCTGGCGTATTAGATTATGCTTGGCTCGAAGACCTCCAAAGTCACGAAACCTCTGCGAAGGAAAGCGGACTCGAACCCTTGGACTGGCCAGGACATCGGGCATCGATCAATTAATCTTTCCAATATGACATTCTTTTTCCTCCTTTTCATTGAAAATTTGTGAAATACAGAAAACTATTTGGGATAAAAATAATGTGAGTTCCCATCCCGAGATCATTGCTATTAATAAATTTTTTTTTTCCCTTTTCGATATTTTTGCTTCCAGGCTTTTTAATATGGATATACCTGCCCACGTATTTTTCCAAATTTGGGGTTGTACTAGAAATGTCTTTGTGTTCCCATTTTGTCCCCTTAGCTTTCTGTCTGAGATTTAAGGTCATTAAATATACTTTGAAGCTACCCCATCCAAGAACTAGACAATTTCAAGCATTACCCTCTTGTTGGGAATTTGGGTTGTCAATTTAACACTTTTTAAAGATAATGCTGTGTTGGATTATTTCTGATGTGTCTTATAAATTTCTAGATGTGGAATGATCAGGTGGACATTTTGAGACTTGGAACATATTTTCTTTTTTTTTTTTTAAGATTTTATTTATTTATTTGAGAGAGAGCATGAGAGGGAGGAGGGTCAGAGGGAGAAGCAGACTCCCTGCTGAGCAGGGAGCCCGATGCGGGACTCAATCCAGGGACTCCAGGATCATGACCTGAGCCGAAGGCAGTCGCTTAACCAACTGAGCCACCCAGGCGCCCAAGAGACTTGGAACATATTTTCAAATTGCCCTCCAAAAAAAATAAAACCAACACACTTCCATTAACAGCATCTGTTTTCTTGCTTGCTAACCAACACTGAGTATTATAGGTTGCATTATGATTTCTTTGCAATTTTCATAATAGCAAAACGGAACTTCTTTTTACATATATTACTTGATGCATCTATTCTCTTGATGTATGTGTATTGTTTTTCTTAGGTCTGTTAGATTTTTTAATATATAAAGGATATTAATTCTTTGGCTCTCAAACACAATGCAGTCTTCTCCCAGTTTATCATTTACCTTTTCCTTCAATATTTTTGAACCTAATGTAATTTTCACTACTATATATTCCCATTTGCCAATATTTCACTTTATGGTATCTTCTATGGCATATGTGGTCTTTTCAAAATTTTTTTTGTGTTTGTATTGCTTTTCCCATTTAATCCGTTTGTAATTTATTTTTTGGTCCTCCCAGGGAAGATCAACTAAGTCTTAAAGCCTATCACTCTTCTTGAGTGATTAAGGGCTCTAAACTCTTTGCTTGGACTAATTCAATCAATCCCACAACAATCCTATAAAGCAAGTTCAGTTATCTCCATTTTCACATGTGTGGGAACTAAATTTGCTTAAGGTTATTGAGCAATTAAGTGGTGGAGCCTGAGTTAGAACTTGAGTCTGGGCTCTCGACCCCAAAGCCATCCTGGCCTTGAGCTTACTGTGCACCAGAGGGTGACCACGTGAGTGGACTCGGTGATTCCGGATCTGGGCATGAATGACAATCACGTGTGCACCTCAGCCTTCAGTCAGAAGATCTCTAAGTCCTGATGATGCTTCAACTCACCAGCTGTGGGCTCTTGGAGGTTTCCTCTCCTTTAATAAAATGGGGATATAAGTTGCAGCCTACCTCTTAAGGCTTTAAGAAAAGAATGCTTCTAGTGGAACAGCCACCACCCTGCAGAGAGCTCCTGCCCGGACTCTAAACATGTCACCATGTAGAAGGTCTATTCACAGCAGAACAAAGAGACACAAAGGTTGAACCTTCTTTGCCAGTTGCGTAATACAGGCCAAGGCTTTTATGAACGCTCAGTGAGAATGGAAAATGGAAACTAATCCAGGCAGAAACACATTCTTCTGGGGCTTTTCAATGCCTAACGAGCCAAAATCCGATCTAAGGAGAACAATGTTCAGGGTAAGAAATCAGGCAAGGATAAGTAATATGAGTGGACACCTTTAGCCACGTTTTTCCTGTAGTGAAATTATGTTACCTATGTGAATACAAATATAGTTTTTTTACGAAATCTGCCAAGGGGCTTCCCATGGAAGCAATCCTAGCTGCAGATGAGGTTTGTTGGCACTATACAAATGATCTCTGCAGCCTGCTTTTATGTCCATGCTTCTATTTTTTTTTTAAGAAACTCTTTTTTTTTTTTTTAAGATTTTATTTATTTATTTGAGAGAGAGAGAATGAGAGAGAGCAAGCACATGAGAGGGGGGAGGGTCAGAGGGAGAAGCAGACTCCCCGCTGAGCAGGGAGCCCGATGCGGGACTCGATCCCGGGACTCCAGGATCATGACCTGAGCCGAAGGCAGTCGCTTAACCAACTGAGCCACCCAGGCGCCCTATGTCCATGCTTCTAGAGGGGAGTGTGGCTCCCAAATGTAGCTCTTACATATTTTGATCCGTTAGTCTGTTGTGGGGTTGCCTTCCTGCCAAGTCTCCAAATTGGGTGCATTTCCTCACTTCCCCTCTATCACCAGCCTGCTTGTGGGCCAGGTCACTCAGGGCCCACAGCCACCTGTCCTTGTGGGCTTGGATCAGTTGGAGGGACGCATGTATAACCAGGTGATGGGAGTGCCTTAGGTAACCAGGGCTTCTCCTAAAAGTGTTACATTTGCAGCAGTCACATACCTGGAACCTTCTTCTGGACCAGACCACTGGCTTATTCCCACCCCTGCCGCAGAGTATGGCCTATTCTGATTTTACACCCAGAATCCAAGGTCCAAATCACTTTCATATATGAAGCACTTCGGTTTTTAACCCAGGGAAAATGTGAACCCCACTTTTAGCAATGCTTGAAGAAAATGCACCTAATAATCCCAGAGTTTGTTGGACTCTGTAGTGAGCCGAGTAGTATACTCCTCCATCAAGATGTCCATGGTCTAATCCCCAGAGCCCCTGAATAACTTATCCCACAAAGTAAGAGATTTTGCAGATGTGATTAGTTAAGGGTCCGGAGACGAGACGGGGATTATCCAAGACCACATGGGCATGCCTAGAGTAATCACATGAATCCTTACAAGAAAGCAGCAGGAGGGGAAGAGAGAGGGGAGGTGTGACAACAGACTTCAGAGACAGAGCCACAAGCCAAGGGAGTGCGGGTGGCCTCTAGAAGCTGGAAAAGGGCAAAGGACAGATTCTCCCCTAGAGCCTCCAGAAGGAACTTGGCTCTGCTGACACCCTGATATGACCTCTAGAAGACCCATTTCTCCAGAACCATGGGATGTGTGTTGTTTTAAGCCACTAAATTTGGTTATTTGTCCGAGAAGCAATAAGAAACCAAGGGGCACCTGGGTGGCTCAGTCGGTTAAGCGTCTGCCTCCGGCTCAGGTCATGATCCCAGGGTCCTGGGATCGAGCCCCGCGTCGGGCTCCCTGCTCAGCGGGGGGCCTGCTTCACTCTCTCCCTTTGTCCATAAACTAAAAGATTATAAAGAATAGGGCCCCAAGAATAGTACCTAGTACATGGTGAGCACACAATGGAATGTCAGCTGCCACTGTTGTTACTGCCTTAATCAGGGAACTTAAGACCAAAGCAGATTTCCCCACTGCTTCAGCCCCAAATGGCCCAAAGGCCTGAGCTGGCTAGCGTCTGCTCCTGACCGTGCCATCTCGTCCCACGACCAGGTTCAAAGATGTCACGCGGATCACCCGAAATTGGCCATGAGGGGAAGACGTACATCATAGAAACCAGCAAACACTGCAAATCAGGGCCTCATCACCACCTCCCAAAGCTGGGGCACCGGCATACCTCGGCCCAGGCCACCTTTTCCCCAGACTGTGGTCTCATCCCTTGTGGCATCAGGGTCCTAGGAAAACTGATTTGTGAAATCAGTATACGTGCTCTCTCATCACGTAAAAAGAGGTTTTATTTTCCAGTAAGACACCACCGCTGTCAGTATCCTCATGCTTCGCTTTCCCAGGTCCCTGGCAGCCACTAGAACTAACCTGAAGCCTGAAGCAGCCCCTGGACTGAGCAGTGAAAGGCGAGCCCCCGGACCCCCTCTCCTACCCCAGGGACTCCAAGCACACATTCAGCCCCCCTCATTCTGCAAGCGCCGCCCTCCTGTGCGTGCTGGCCTCAAATCCAGAGGGCCACTCACCTCTGGGATTCTTTGATCAGAAACTCCTTAGAAAAAAAACAACATACACAAAAGGAGACGGAGCGACCACCCCTGCAGCACGACCTCGTGTCTCAGTGTTAAGGACCCGGGGGAAGGAACTGCCAATTCTTGGAAAATGATTCTCCAGGGGTCACTCACGTTCCAGCACATCCTGTGAGCTAGACTGCCTTAGTTCCAGACTGTCTTTTCTAGGATGTCTCGGGTGGCAAACACAGAGTCTCTCTCTCTGGAACAACACTCAGGCAGGCTTACCCATCATTGTAAGACTGAGGTTCCCTAGGCTCGGGTGTCCTCTTGTCATGCAGCCCACTGTAAGTATGGGCACCTCTTCATGGGACCCTAGAGGGACGACAGCTCAGGGAGTCAGTGTAAATGCTGATTAAAACCTCAAATGCTGATAAAATGCTGATAAAGTGCTCCTGGCTGGTGCTGCATTCACCCGTCCTTTTGTCTCTGACCTAGGAGTCTCATAACTTCCGCCACGTTCCATGAAACCATGACGTGCTACCTTATTAGCTGGCAAGGAGGATAAAATCTGGGACCTTTTGTAGTTTTTTTTTTTTTTTTAAGATTTTATTTATTTATTTGAGAGAGAGAATGAGAGAGAGCACATGAGAGGGGGGAGGGTCAGAGGGAGAAGCAGACTCCCCGCCGAGCGGGGAGCCCGACGCGGGACTCGATCCAGGGACTCCAGGATCATGACCTGAGCCGAAGGCAGTCGCCTAACCAACTGAGCCACCCAGGTGCCCAACCTTTTGTAGTTTTGACACCCGTGTGTTCCCTTAAGGATCCAGAGCTCTAAGAGAAGACCAAATCCAGTTAGCGAGAAGCACTGTCTGCTTACTTCCACACACACAGAAGAAAACCCAATAAGCATCATTGTGTTGGAGAGCACTTTAATCGTCTACAAATTGATGCAGTTTATTGGCATGATATTTTGAATAATCTTATAGCAACAGTACAATTCTGAGTAATTCTGTAGTAACAATAGCTGGAAGAATTTATAGTAACAGTACAATTTTGAATAATTTTTATAGGAAAAGAAGAGATACAGAGAAAAATAATTTCCCTGCACGGTGAAATTTTCACACACTATACAGAAATTTCCCACATCTGTCCAGTTCCGGCTCAGAACGATAGCTAATATATTTTACTCATTGTATTCTACTCCTTTTAAGACTGACTTCAAATAACCTGGAAATGAGAACTGATTCCTGGCACGGAGGAGACTACAAAGAACTTGGGTTTCCTGGCAGACAGCGTTGCAACGAGTGCGTCCTGCAACAAGGCTGGTGTGGGGTCAAGTCCTGCACACGTGGTTGGTGGCTCCACCTCAGTGGACTCGGCCGAAAGAGGCTCTCACTCGAGCACTGACCACGGAGAAGTGGGAAGTCCTGTTGCCATGTACGGGCAATGACCCAGACAGGGCGTAATGCCCTCCCACGGTGAGAGGTGACCACGTCACTCTTTCCCCAGCCGCAGGTGGGAGAACATCAGAGAGAGAAGGGCAGGCCAAACCAGGTCATTGGCTTTCCTCAGACCCCCCCTGGCAGCTTTTGAATAGTCCTCGCTGGGGGGAGGGAAAAACTATGGGCCAAATGAGGCGGGGTAGGGGGGAAGACTGGAGGCTGGCCTTGGGGTCTGCCATCAGACCTTAATTCTCCTTGTTTATCTAAGTCCAAGAGCTATCTAGGGAACTCAGGAAGGGCTATCCGCTCTACCTTTTAAAAGAAACGAATTCCTCCTGGTCTACCGGGTCCTTGTGTCTCCTTTCTAGGTGCCTATAAATACAACCCCATTACAATTCTGTTTGGCTAACAGCTTACAGAATGTCTAAGATACCACGCAGGTGACCCATCTCCCTTGTGACTTTAGCGCCAGAGCCTGAGAAACAGAACTGGCGCGAGATTCCTACAACTCGCCGCCCCGATTTCTTGGGCTTCTGGAAAGTCTCTTATTGTTCTTTCCTCAACAGTAGAAAACACCGTATTTGCAGATTATCTGAATCACCTCCATCAAGGCCACTTAAAACATATCATTTAAAAAATTAATCACAGATTTTTTAAAAAACTAGTTGCCCAATTTGCAAACAAATCCGTTTCTGACAGTTGCTCTCGGGCAATTTTCTGCACTTTTGCTGGACTCGCAAGGGCAGCAAAGGTGGGTCAGCAAGGCCAGAAACGTTTCTCGGTTGGCAAAGCCAAGTGAAGACACCCCCCCCCCGCCCCGTCCCGGCCAGCCTTGCCAGAGCCGAGCTGGGGACTCCGGGAAGAGAGGGGTTCAGCCCCAGGGTTCACTCCCCCGGCCGCACGTATCCACGGGCTTCTGGAAGCTTGGCCTGTGCCATGGAATCGACGAAAGCCCATAGCCTGGGCTGAAATGACATCTGGCCGTCTAACAGTGTGAATGTAACAACAGGAGACAACTCTCGGGGCCAATTCTGTACATCTTAGAGCAGCTGCTACCCAATGAATCAAAGCGCGGCCTCGAGTCGGGAGCCGGGCCCACTGACAAGTCTGCGAGTCCCACGTGCCTTGGGCTCCGCCCCCCCGCCCACCCTCCGTGGCCCCCCGCTGCCCTGGGGGTGAGGTGACGAGGCGGACAGCCGACACCAGTGCCATACTCCCAGGCCGGCCCCTGCCCTCCGGCGGGCCCTCCCCACGGGCTGAGAGGGCAAATGCCAGCCAGCCTTCTTCTTTATTTTTCTGTTACACCATCTTTTCATTGGAATACCAGGGATACGGACGTCCGGCCTCGGGAGTGTGTGACAGGCTGGGCCAACCGTGCTTCCTGAGTGCATAGGCGGCCTTGAACTCCGGCCGGTGCGTGGCCCTCCCACCCCGGGGGGACCTGCCTGATGAACTGCATCAGGGCAGTAACACCCACGTGCCCTCCGACCCACTGGCAGCCCGAGCCCGGAGCGGCTGCTGTCTGGCCCGCGTGGAGGCAGAGACTCCGCACGCCCCGACGGAGGCCTGGGAGGTCAGTGCAATGGCCAAATGCCTCATCTGCGGTTTGGCGAAGCTCTTATCTGTGAGGTATTTTGTGTGTGTGGAAGACTGAGAACGGGGGAGGACGATTAAAAACAAGAAGAAAACCCAGACAAGAGCAGTGTACCTTATACGGGTCTCTTCCCACGTCACTGCCTGTGCCCAGAATTGGGTGAGGGAGAGCCGTGCGAGGTGAAAACACTCATCTATCCAGAAGCACCCCCTCCTGTGCTGCTTAGAGATCACACACACACACACACACACACACACACTCTCTCTCTCTCTCTCTCTCTCTCTCTCCCCCCCGTGGAGAAAGGGGCTAGCTCTCAGCAGGTGGGCAGGACGGCCCAAACCCCGTGGTTCATTAAAGAAGCTAAAACAGGCACAGAGATGTCCCCACGTGGGATCCTGAGACTTGCCTTTGTGGGAGTGACTCCGGAGTCGCAGACTCTCGAGAGCTCCGGAGAGAAACAGTGTAAACAGCTGGGCAAAGGGGGCCTGGGGCCTGCACCAAGCCCTCGGCCCAAAGCACACTTTGCTGGAACAGGGCAAATCTCCATCGGGCTCCCAGCTGCCGTTAAGGGAGTGAAGATTTGCAGGGGCACACAAAACGCGGTCAGTGTACCAGGAGGAAACCCTGCCTGGCTCACTCATTTCAAAACTTGGCTCTGGTTTAGTAAGCAAATTCTTCCTAAGATAGCACCCGCGAGAGCTTCCCTCTTGCCATAATGCAATGAAAATGTGCAACTATTCGAAAGAAGAACTGAGTCTCTGGGGTGGCAGGAAGTCTTAAATAATGCTGTGTGTGTGTGTGTGTGCGCACGCACGTGTCTGGATGCAGTCTTAAATCATGTTGTGTACGTGCATGCGGGGGGGGGGGGCGGATAGCGTCTGGAGGTGGGAATTTTCCCAAGGGACAGGGGAGGGCTGCATGGATCGGCAGCTGAGATCTGTCTTCAGAGGATATTGTGAAACATGCTCACTGCGACCCTTTCCATCCGAGAGGGGCTGGAGAGTGCCTTCGGCTGCACGGATGCGATCCCCTATCACATGCCACACATGGCTGGAGTGTCTTCCTGAGTAATGTGACAGGGCGTGGCGGTGCAGAAAGGCACTTGGAAAATACACATGCCACACAGGTAGGGCTCAGCTCCCTGGTTCAAGGAAAGGCACCCCAGGCGTATATGCAGAAACTTACCTGCCTAACCCCTCTCCCCTCCACCCCCCCCCGGCTCCGCCCCGGGGGCCGCTGGAACTAACAGGCAGATGTCTTGTCATCTCCCACGGGACGCCTGGGAGCGGCTCCGGCTAGAAGCGGTGCTGGTGAAGAGCTGCAGACGAGGGGCTTTGCTCCAGTCTCTTGACATGGCAGGAGTGACAGAACAGGTGGTCCTCCAGGGGGTAGCAGCGGTGACCGTCTTCATCATTGAGCTCCAGACCACAGTCCTAGGGGAGGCAAAAAGGCCCAGTGGTAGCAGGACAGCACAGAAAGGACTGCAAGACTGACCCAAAGGCCGACGTCCCGGAGACCAGCAGAGCGGACTGTGCGGGCAGCGAATGCCGGCGCGGAACCGGGCAGTCCTGCCGAGTGAAAGCATGACACACGCCCCCAACGCGCACTTGAACCGGGGCTGGTCGGAACGGAAATGGGACGTCGGTGGATCCCTATGCTGTACCTCCAAGACTCAGGGCAAACAATGAAAATAAGATCGTTCATGAGAGATCCCTCATACTGGTTACACATATTGAAAGAAAACTGGATACACGGGTTGAATAAAATATTAAAAGAATGAATCCCATCCGTTTTGCTTTATTTTTTTAATGTGACTACTAGAAAACAAAATGACACTCGTGACTTGGACCCGTGGCTCTTGGGTTTCTATGGGCCAGCGCTGGCCTGAATGCAGAGCGAAGACTGTAGTGAGCAGATGGCCCCTTGCTCTCCGGCGCCTGGTGCTAGCAGTGAGCTCCTCCCTTCACCCCCACCCCTCTCCCATTCACCCCACCCACAGCGTCACGAAATAAATCTACTGTCCTTCCTTGGGTGAATCCACTTAATTCTGGCTGAAACCCCACGGATGCTTAAAGTGTGCGCAACCTTCACGAGGGGCGGGGAGGGGTGACCCCAGGCCTGCCTGATAGCCATGGAGCACCCGCCCGGGCATGACACAAGGTAAAGAGGGGGCAGATGGGTCCCCATCCACCTTCACACCACCCATGCCTGTTTCCAAGGAGGGGCGGATTTCTTCATGATTTCCAGGGGTCAGCTCAGAAAGGGGTTCTTGGCAGATAGAACAGCCTATAAGCTGGAGGGGAGGGTGTCTGTTCCCCAGATCACACAGCTGCCTGACAATGTGGCATGTGAAACCCGTGGTCCCCGTGAGCCGCCCACTCTGTGGCCTCAGGGAGCCAACTGCAATGGTTTCAGGACTTGGCAGTTAACCAACGTGGAGGAAACAGCAATGATCTTTACGTCCCAAACATGTGTGTGTCCTCCAACCTCCCCTACAAGGCAGGCTTCACCCCTTGACCTGGAGGGCAGCCCTTGACCACACCTTGCTGACCATCTCAGGCCCCAGTCAACCCGGGGATGCTCTTCTCTTGTACTTTTGGGCATCTGGGCAGGGAGGGGCCTACCTCACAGTGGTAGCACTCCACATGGTAGTCTCTGTCCATGGACACGACACGGATGGTCTCATCTGAGCCCTGGACAGAATGAAAGGAAGAATAAGAGGCCAGCTGGGGGACCCAACTTTTAACTGATGAGAGAGGAAGGAGGAGGGACAGCAGTTCTACCTTCTGGAATGTCAGAGTCAACACTGAAAAAAACCACCTACATGGAGAGTGATTTAAAAAAAAAAAATGAATGAAAGGCAAGATTTCTGCTCATCTTCTAATCTGGGAGTCACTATCAAGTCAGGGAGTTTGACCCGATTATAGGGACGAATAGAGCACACGAAGGGCAATTGGCTGGGGAAGCCAGCCAAGAAGAAAGGGGCTTCTTGGTGAGGACACTATTAAGGTCAGAAGTGAGATTTCAGAAGGATTTTGTCAAAGGCGTAAGGACAAGACACAGATCTTGTAGATGATCCCAGGGAGATATTCGTGTCATGGAAGACGCCAGGAACAGGCCTGAAAAAGCTTCTTACCTCAGGTGGAAGGATGGGAAGCCCACAGGCTGCACACTTGGGGGCCAGCACCCTGCCGGGAGAAGCAAAGAGGCAATAAAATGCATATTGTGCTGTTTCTAGGAGGCAGGTCCTGGAGCCCACACTAAGCCTTCCTCACGGCTGGCCTCCCACCCATCCCTCTTCAAGTGAACCCTGCCCCCCACCCCCCACCCCCAGCCCTCGAATCAAGACAGCCTGGCTTGGGGCACCTGGGTGGTTCAGTCAGTGAAGCATCTGCCTGTTGCTCAGGTCGTGATCTTGGGGTCCCGGGATTGAGCCCCGCATCGGGCTCCCTGCTCAGTGGGGAATCTGCTTCTCCCTCTCCTGCTCCCCCTGCTTGCGTGCGCTCTCTCTCTCTCTCTCTCTCTCAAATAAATAAAATCTTTATTAAAAAAAGACAGTCTGGCTCATTCTCTGGGAGGTGTTTTAGTAGCACTTCGAGATTATTCCCCAGTGGTAACAAGCCTAGCTAGACCCTCTCACTCTACTAGGGACAGAGACCAACCTGTTCACTCCCCTCATGGTGCCCAGCACAGGCCTGGGCAGACCGAGGGTGGTGGCGACCAGCCCTGAGTCGCTGCCTTGTGAAGTCAGGTCAAGCTGGAGCCACTGGGCTTGGCAGAGGCTTCCTGAGGCCTAACCGGGATCTGATTATAGGGATTTGGGTTCTGATTTTCCAGGAAACATGATTCTGTTACCAGTCCCTATCTGCACTGGAGTCAGCTGACTTTCCGAGGCCCCTGCTACACCATTTAAACCACGAAGCCTTTGCCGGACTGTGGACTCAGGATTCAAGCAGAGCCTGCGGGTGCACCTCAGCAGGTGTCTCTCCTTCGCTCGGTGAGATCAATGTGGCTCGGGCCTGCAGGCCCTCTGCACCCTATCCCTCCTTACTTGTGGTAATCTCGGACACAGTAGATCTTGTTCTCGGAGTCCACGGTGAAGGGCACCCCGTCCAAACACTCGTTGCAGATGACACAGCGGAAGCAGCCGGGGTGATAGGACTTCCCGAGGGCCTGCAGGATCTGGAGGCAGAAAGGAAGAGGCTGGGACTCAGCGGGGATTATGGGGACGGGTTGGACAGTGGAAAGGAGAGGAACACATCAAGCTGAGGGTCCCTATGCGATCACATCGCACAGCACACACTCGTCAGGGTTTCGCTTGGACCAAGGTCAAGAGAGGACGGGGTGGGAAAGGCAAATCAAGGTAAATGTATCAACAGGAGGGAGCCAAACAGGATCCTTCTCCTGGGCATAACCCTCCTGAGGAGAATCTGGAGGGCTCTTTTGCAGTTCTTTGCAGGAAATGATGTGAAGCAGGCAGGGCCACGCCAGGCTTCATCCCAGATTTAGGAAGCAGCTGGTCCACAGAAGGATCAAAGTTAATTCCACATGGAAATGGCAGAGCTCAGAAAACCTCTTAAGTTCTGCCTCCCAAGTGCCTCCTCCTAAGCAGCTTTCACTCAGAGGCATGATAATCCAGAAGCTATGACTCAACCGCTGATCATTCCAAATCCAAGCATAAGCAAAGCTTCTTTGTTGCTGTTGTTGCTGGTTTTTTTTTTAAGATTTATTTATTTGAGAGAGAGAGAGAGAAAGACCGCATGCACTAGCACAGCAGGAGGGGCAGAGGGAGAGAATCCCCAAGTGCACTCCCTGCCAAGCGCAGAGCCCGACGTGGGGCTCAATCCCAGGACCCCAAGATCATGACCTGAACAGAAATCGGGAGTAGGACACTTAACCAACTAAGTCACTCAGGCGCCCTATTGCTACTGTTTTCAAACACAAAGTAGAGAAAGTCCCACAAACCTTCTTCCTCTTAGTGTCATTTGATCTTGTTCTGATGCCTGGAGAGGTAAGAAGCTGTCCTGGAACCAGGACAGAGCCCACACATGCAGGGCAGGAGAGAGAAGACTTGGTGACATCAGCAAGTGACCAAATTACCTCCCTGCAGAACTGCCTACCTCCAACCCCCTTGCTAGGTGACATCAAACTGTTTTCCTATTAAGTCAGTGCATCTCAAAGTGTGGTCCCTGGAGCCACAGGACCAGCATCACCTGGGGGCTTGCTCAAAAATGTACATTCTCAGGGCCCATCCCGGATCTCCAGAATCAGAAGCACTAGGGTCAAGCCCAGCGGTTGGTGTTTTCGAAATATGATTCCAATGCATGCTAAAATCGAAGAACCACTGGTTTGAGTGTGTGCCCGTGTGTGTGACACCTGCAGGAAAGGTGTGGGCCTGCCAGTGCCCAAGGCCTGCTTCCCCCCAAGGCCAACGCCACACCTCACATGCTGCAGCCACAGAGGTAAGCTGGAGGCTTCGTGCGCTCTCCCTTCTTCCTCTGAAGGCTCAGCTCTCTAACCTCCTCGTTCCCTCTGGTGCGTCACTAACCTTTGAGGCCCCTCTCGACCTGCGGGAAGCTGCCAGAATAGGACAAACAACAGGCTGGGCTTCCAAAGTCCACTTGGCAATGGGGACCTCAGAATGCATTTTGCTCCCTGGCTAACACTGTCTTGGCGGAAGAGACCCTTAAATGAACTTCACCCACAATGTGCCTGAAGTGTGGCAGGACACAGATGCCTTTTGCTGCATGCTGACTCCCTGTGATAATTCTTTTTAATGTGGGGGAAATGCCCAGTTTCAACCTGCACTCTCAGAGCATTCCCCTCTACTAACCAGGGAGGCGGGGGGGACAAGGACAATTTATACAAAGAACTGGACAACTGGTTGCTTCTCTTAAAGAACCAAGAATGGTGTCAGAAGGAATCTTTTCTGGCATTATAAAAATTCTTGGCAGTAGTTAAGGGTTCTGTCTTTAAAAGTGGGCGTCACGGGCGCCTGGGTGGCTCAGCTGGTTAAGTGACTGCCTTCGGCTCGGGTCATGATCCTGGAGTCCCGGGATCGAGTCCCGCATCGGGCTCCCTGCTCGGCAGGGAGTCTGCTTCTCCCTCTGACCCTCCTCCCTCTTATGCTCTCTGTCTCTCATTCTCTCTCTCGCAAATAAATAAAATCTTAAAAAAAAAAAAATTTTTTTTAAAGTGGGTGTCACTACCAGACAGACATTGCTAAAAGTTTTCAAGTCCTAGAGAAGACCTGCAAGGACCCAGGTTCAACTTGGCATTATTCTCGTGGGGTAGAGATGGTCTCCAAAGCTTCATTCCTTCCCTTCCTGCGGGTCCTCACTTCAAGAAGTGGAGGAGAGTACCCCCCCTCACCACCCCGCCGTGTATTGAGAGCGGCCTTGTGATGTTCTGTGAGCAACAGAATGAGGAAGAAATGATATGGAGAGATTTCGGAGTCAAGGACTTAAGAAGCCTGGCAGCTTCCCTCCCTCCTTTGCTGTAGGAAGTCCAAGCTAGACGACTGAATGAGATCAGTGGCCACAGGGGAGAGGCCATCTTGGGCACTCAACTGGGACACCAGCTGAGCACCAGTGCATAAGTGACCCCAGGCAATGCCACATGGAGCAGGAGAACCATCCCGCTGAGCCCTGACTAATGGAGTTCTATGAATCACGAGGCCCTAAGAAGGCTTACGATACCTGGAAATAAAAAATAGCATATAATCATGCTCATATATTTGGACACCGTTGGCCTCATATGCAGTGGGTTTGCCAGAAGGACTCTAAAATTGAGGACCAATTCCGCCCAAGAATCGGATGCCTGTGGAGTCTGGCTGGCGTCTGTGGAAGGTAGGGGTGAGGGTGTGTGGCTCCTGCCGGCCTCCCCTGTGGGAATGGAGGGAGGGCCGTGCTCCCAGGGAGGTCTTGGCTACAGCGAGGACCCGGCCCTCTCAGGGCTAAGCTCCGCTGTGGTGTGTCGGAGCCTGGGCAACAGCAGGTTCTCCTCATGAACAGGGCAGGCTTCACAGCAGCTTTATTCCTAAATAGCCTCAAACTGGAAACCACCCAAAATCCCATCAGCAGAGCAACAGATACACAAGCTGCTATATCCATACAATGGAATTCTACTTCGCAATGAAAATAAATGAACTGTTGACACAGGCAACATGGATGAACCTCAGGAACATTTTCTGGGGGCCCCTGGGTGGCTCAGTTGGTTAAGCGTCCGACTCTTGATTTCAGCTCAGCTCATGATCTCAGGGTCGTGAGATCGAGCCCCACGTCGCTGGGCATGGAGCCTGCTTAAGATTCTCTCTCTCCGGGGGCGCCTGGGTGGCTCAGTTGGTTAAGCGACTGCCTTCAGCTCAGGTCATGATCCCAGGGTCCTGGGATCGAGTCCCGCATTGGGCTCCCTGCTCTGCGGGGAGCCTGCTTCTCCCTTTCCCACTCCCCCTGCTTGTGTTCCCTCTCTCGCTGTGTCTCTCTCTGTCAAATAAATAAATAAAATCTTAAAAAAAAAAAAAAAAAGATTCTCTCTCTCCCTCTCCCACTGCCCCTGCCGCCCCCCAAAAACAACAACAAAGGGGCCCCTGGGTGGTTCAGTCAGTTAAGCGTCTGCCTTCGGCTCAGGTCATGATCCTAGGGTCCTGGGATCGAGCCCCGCATCGGGCTTCCTGCTCAGGGGGGAGCCTGCTTCTCCCTCTTCCTCTGCCACTCCCCCTGCTTGTGTTCCCTCTCCCGCTGTCTCTCTCTCTGTCAAATAAATAAATCTTTAAAAAATAAAAAATAAATAAATTTACAAAAAAAAAAAAAGAAAAGCTACAGAGTGGGAAAAATATTTGTAAACATTTTCAGAAAAGGACTTATATTCAGAATATAAAAAAGAACTCTTGGGGCACCTGGGTGGCTCAGTTGGTTAAGCGACTGCCTTCGGCTCAGGTCATGATCCTGGAGTCCCAGGATTGAGTCCCGCATCGGGCTCCCTGCTCGGCAGGGAGTCTGCTTCTCCCTCTGACCCTCCTCCCTCTCATGCTCTCTGTCTCTCATTCTCTCTCTCTCAAATAAATAAATAAAATCTTAAAAAAAAAAAAAAAAGAATTCTTAAAACTTAATAAGTAGGGGCACCTGGGTGGCTCAGTTGTTAAGCATCTGCCTTTGGCTCAGGTCATGATCCCAGGGTCCTGGGATTGAGCCCCACATCAGGCTCCCTGCTCCGTGGGAAGCCTGCTTCTCCCTCTCCCACTCCCCCTGCTTGTGTTCCTGCTGTCGCTCACTCTCTCTCTGTCAGATAAATAAATAAAATCTTTAAAAAAAAAAAACTTAATAAGTAATAAGCAACTCAATAAAAAAATAGGAAAAGATTTTAACAGATACTTCAAAGACAATATATGGATAACGGGTACCTGGCTGGCTCAGTTGGAAGAGCATGTGACTCTTGGTCTCAGGGTTGTGAGTTCAAGCCCCACGTTGGATGTAGAGATTACTTAAATAAATAAACTTAAAAAAATACATATGGATAACTAGAACATGAAAATGCTCATTACAAAAATACTCATAATGATGCTCAGCATCATTAGCCATTTTGGAAATATAAATTAAAATCACAATGACCTATTACTACACATCTATTAGCATGGCTAAACTTAAAACAAATAAAAACTGACAATACCAAGTGCTGGGTAAGCATATAGAGCAACTGGAACTCTTACTGGTGGAAATGCAAAATGACATAGACTCTCTGGACAAGTTTGACAGTTTCTTATAAGAGTAAACATAAGGGGTGCCTGGGTGGCTCAGGCGTTTAAGTGGCTGCCTTCGGCTCAGGTCATAATCTCAGGGTTCTGGGATTGAGCCCCACATCGGGCTCCCTGCTCAGTGGCGAGTCTGCTTCTCCCTCTCCCTCTGTGATCTCCCTCACTCTCACTCTCTCTCAAATAAATAAATAAAAATCTTAAAAAAAAAGTAAGCATAATTTACCATATGCCTCTATAATTCCACTCCTAGGCATTTACCCTAGATAAATGAAAACTTATGTCGGGCGCCTGGGTGGCTCAGTCGTTGGGCATCTGCCTTCAGCTCAGGTCATGATCCCAGGGTCCTGGGATAGAGTGCCCGCATCGGGCTCCCTGCTCAGCGGGGAGCCTGCTTCTCCCTCTTCCTCTGCCACTCCCCCTGCTTGTGTTTGCCCTCTCTCTTTCTCTCTCTACCAAATATATAAAATATTTAACCAACAACAACAACAACAAACATTTTCTAAGTGAGAAAAGGCAGACCCAAAGGACTCTGTACTGTGTAATTCCATTTATATGAAGTTCCAGGACCAGCAAAACAAATCTGGGGCAACAGAGCTCAGAATAGAGGGTACCTTTGGAGGAGGGTTTCTGGACTGGGAGGAAGACAAGAAGGAAGTTCCTGGGGTGTGGGATGTGGGAAACATCCACACTTTGACCTGGGTGGGGTTACACGGGTATGTGCATATGCAAAACTTTATTCACCTGTACGCTTAAGATGTATAGCCTTTACTCTAGGAGTTGTTTCTCAATAAGAGAGGTAAAAGAAAAAAATATAGCAATGATTAGCAATTCCCTTCTCCAGAATGGAATTAATGGGTCAGCTTAGAGAGGGATTTACCTCTTTCCGACTAAAAGAATATTGTATAATAATTTTCTTTAACCAGCATATTAAAGAAATTCTTAAGGCCTGATCTCCAATGGTGAACAGTCTGATCCCTGAGACAGACTAAGTATTCTGCATTTGTTAACCTCGCAACCTTACCCTATAAGGAGGCCAGGAAAGAAAAACTGTCCCCACTGAAGAGATAAAGATACTGAGGCCCAAGACAAGCTCAGAGAGCCAGTGGCTGAGTGAAGAACAGAATGTATAAAACTTGCTTCTTGTTCTGCTGTCTCAGAACTAATGACAGGCCCCCAAAACTCATCTTAGGAACAGATAGAGCCAGGCAGAACATGAGGCACAAACAACTGTGTTTATCCAACTTTCTGTACCCAACTCCAAGGGAGATGAAGTTTGGCATTTGGCATCTCACCCGGGACACCACAAGGATCACAGAAAATCAGAGGGAGGCTGGTGTGATCCAAACAGCCCACAGAAAAGAGCATCATCAGAAACACAACACTGTGGTGGACTACATGATTAAGGATGCTAATACCAGTAAACGCCAACAACGTGGCTTCTTGTAGAGCAAGCAGCGGACTTACACAGGTCTTCTCTTAACAAAACCAGAGGCAACCATAAATCAAGGTAGGAAACACAGTTTTCAACTGTTAGTTTCTTTTTTCTGTGAATGCCTCCCCCTCCCACCGTGCCATCATCTTGTTCCACTGACCCTACTCACCATGTCCATGATCAGATGTCCACAAAGAAAACACCTGTCAGCAGACTGCTGGAACCCAGAGTACTGCAGAAGAAGCAGAAAAGAAATTTAAAGCCAGGCAGGACAGATGACCCAGCATCCCCTTGCCCACAAGTCACGAGGATGACAAGGAACTTCTCAGAAAGATGTGTCACTCTATACAGGAATCTGTCGTTTCCCAGAGGACAAAAACAGTTGTGTGATGAATCATGGCATACCTTCTGCCACAAAGCCATTACAAATACCAATACCACTCACCCTAACAACAGCTGCATCTGGGCATCCACAACATGCCAGGCTCTGTGTAAGAGGCTGTACATAGACAGGCTTTATTCTCTAAGCCAGTGGTTCTCAAAGAGGAGTTCCCTGACATCACCTGGGAACTTGTAAGAAATGCAAATTCTTGGGCTCCACCCCAGACCTACTGAATTAGAAACTCTGGGAGGGGACCTGGTAACACGTTATGTCTTCACAAGCCCATCAGGGGAGTCTGATGCAGGCTGTATTACTTAAAACAATTTTTTTTTTTTTTTAAGATTTTATTTTATTTTTTGAGAGAGAGAGAGAGAGAGAGGGAGGGAGCACGAGTAGGGGGAGGAGCAGAGGGAGAGGGACAAGCAGACTCCCGCTGAGCAAGGAACCCGATGGAAGGGCTCAATCCCAGGACCCTAGGATCACAACCTGAGCCAAAGGCAGATGCTTAACCGACTGAGCCACCCAGGCGCCCCTCCTTAAAACAATTCTTAAAACAAGGTATATATCATACCATTTCTCAGATGAAAACAAGGGAAACTCAGGATTAAATGACTTTCACAAGGTCACACAGCCTGTAAGGGGTAAGGACAGGATTCAAATTCAAGTCTGGTTCTGGCTAAAAAGCCAATGGCTTTAGGGCGCCTGGGTGGCTCAGTTGGTTGAGCGACTGCCTTCGGCTCAGGTCATGATCCTGGAGTCCCGGGATCGAGTCCCGCATCGGGCTCCCTGCTCGGCAGGGAGTCTGCTTCTCCCTCTCCCGCTCCCCCCTCTGGGGCTTTCTCTCTCTCTCAAATAAAGAAATAAAATCTTAAAAAAAAAAAGCCAATGGCTTTAGTTTCAAAGAAACTTGGTAAATATTCTCTATCTTACCGAAACACACACGCACACGCGCGCACACACAGGCACAGCTGGAGTCTTGAGAGAAACGGGAAACACTTTTCAGGAAAGCACACAGAAAAGATACCAGAGGCTGGAAGATACTAGAAGTTTAGATATTACAAACACACATTATGGGGGGGGGACATGTAATGGAAAGGAAGGTTGGGAAAAAAGAAAAAGGGAACTTCCTGCAACCTCAAGGGCGACAGTTCTCTATTTTCAGGGTGAGCCAGCCGCACCCCCACCTCAACCTCCCATGAGCCTGTGCGGCCGACCGCCTGCGGGGAGCCAAGGCGGGGCACGGACTCAAACCTGGCCAATCAGAGCCCCACGTTCCTCCAGCACCAATGATTTTGCCCACAGGTGGGCATGTGACCCAACAGAGCCAATGAGACCGGAGGGGCAGGACAGGCTCTGTGGCTCATGGGCATTGAAGGCGAGACGATGCGAGCCCCGGGGCGCTGCGGCCCTGTGGCCACCAGGCAGTGCCTTCGAGAAGCGAGCTAATGCTGCCGAGGCAGGGCCCCAAACTGAAGACAAAACGACCCCGAGGCCCCTGCTGAATGCCTTTCCTTTTTGCTTCCCCCAGTTTGGGTCTGCTTGTCTGGTACTGGCCAGCCTGGGTCACAGTGCATCAACCTCAAGCCATCTCCGGGTCCCCCGGCGACGCAGGCGCAAGTCATCTACCATTTACGGGGCGCCACTCCATGCTGGGCACGGGGTTAGGGTCTGACGAGGTCACGGCGAAGAAGCATGTTCTCTCCTCCCTAGGCGCTTACAGTCGGGTGAGGGAGAAAGGTTTGTGGGTGCCACCCTGCCGTCTGCTTCCTGCTCGGCCGGGGAAGCCCAGGTGTGGCGGCCCCCCAGAGGAGGGGCGCTCACTGCCGGGGAGGGGGACAAGGCCGTCGGGTATCCGGGCGAAGAAAGGGTGAAGACACCCCAGCCAGGGGGAATGGCACAGGCTGAGGCCCAAAGGCGTGAGGCTGTGCAGGGGCGCAAGCAAGCGGCCGAGCGGGAGAGGCGCGAGGCAGGTCCGGAACACGGCTTCTGCGCATGCTCTGAACCCTAGACACGTGGGGCCTGGGTGAGCTGGGTGGACACACAGGTAGCGTGGCAGCTAAGCTGGCCCAGGGAGGCCGTGGTGGCGCAAGGATCAATGCTCAGCCACATTCTGGGAGAGGTGGGAAGGAGGAGGGGTCCATAGTTCTCAGGTAATGGGAGGCTTCTGCTTCAGACAAGCGGCCTATGACGGGCTGGGGGCCAGCCCAGGGCACCGTCCAATGGCCAGGGAGATGTCAGCAGCTGGCCTGAGGGGTGCTGACAGGGCCGGAGCTCAGGCCTGGGAGTCACTGGTACGCAGACGGACTCTGGAAGCACGACAGAGGCTGGATGCCCATGGAGAGCAGCCGGGATTGGAAGGAACGAAGGCCTGAACCCCAGTCCCGAGGTTTAAGAGGGAGGTGGGGTAGGCAGAAACGGGCAGAACACAAGAGGACAGGCCAAGTGGCCCTCAAGTCCTTTCCAAGCACAAAGCTCTGCGGTTTGTCATTTGCTTCGGGAACAAGGGCCACCTGGTGCATCTACAGAAGGAAAGTGCGGACCCCCTTCTCTGGCCGCACTCAGCTCCCTGCCGGCGCCGGGGATCACGGAGAGAAGCCACACTCTTTGGCCCCACAGGCCCCTGCCCCTGACCCTGGTCAGGACTGCGGGCAGGGGAGGTTTGGGTAACAAACTCACCAGGAAGTCTTCCTCACAAAACACTTTGCCGTTGACAAAATAAAAGGCTTTTCCTCTCAGCTTCCGGCCTAAGGAAAAAACACAAAGGCAGGGTGAAGAGAAGATGCTGTAGGCAGTGATAAAAGGAGAAAAGGCAGGCAAAGTGTGTGTAAACAGAAACAAGCATGCTAAAAATGCCAACTGTCACTAGGGGTGTGTGACTGGTGGCACCTGGCAATGGGCAGGCAGAGGCCAGGAGGCCAGGCCCCTGGTGGGTGCTGTGTAGCCGGGGACACCAGCGCGGCCTTGGGAATCATCCTACGCCCACTTCTCCCGCTTCCTCTCCGCTGAGAAAGAAGCCAGCGAGACATCTGGTGAGGGGATGGCAGAGGCACCCTCGGGGGGGGGGGGGGGGGCGTTCAGGGCAACAGTCTGTTGTGAAGCTGTTTCCCACAGGTGTTTGGGATGTTACCTTTGACCTGTTCTCCAGGGGACACTGGTGACAGTCTATCAGGAAAGTCCTATAAATTGGTCAACTTTATTTTTCTTATTTTCGTGTCTCTCTTCATCTCGACTATATAGAAACTACACATTGTTGGACGGATAATGATTTTTCTTGTTTTCTCCTGATCTAAATGGGGTGAGGAAGGGTGGGGAAAAATTCAAAGCACCCCGGCTGCTTAGGTGTAACTTCAGTTTCCATAAAGCTAGGACACTGACAAGAACAGCATACTTTATCAATGCCCTTGATCCCTTATGAAAAAATACAGAGGGTCGCATGTTCAAGGTTAAGCAGGAGCATCTTTGTAGGAGACCCTGGGTCCATGACCCCACAGCATTCCCAGATCTGAGAACACTTCTAGCACCAGGCACAACACATACGCAATGGACCGTGGAAGTTTCCAAAACTGAATGAATTCTGAACTCTAGTGGAATCACTAGACCCTTGGAGCCAGCGTCCATGACATGAAACCAAACTCACCAATGTCGCAAACGCTACCAGTGCTCGAGACAGAGAAACCCCCTTGATAAACACGGAGTGCCTCGCCTGGGACCCCCCCCCCCCCCCCCCCCCCCGCCCAGAGCAGCCAAAGAGCACAAGGCGACAGAGAAAAGCCTGGTGACATAGACCTGCTGGAGCTTAGAGAGGGCCTGGAAAGTATCGAGACAGAGGAAAAGCCACCAAAAAAGGGAAAGAAGTTTAACTACAAAAGCAAAAAGCTCCAGACGGATTAAAGACCTCTGTGAAAAACAAAAGTTATCCTAAGAAAATGCGAGCAGGTGTCTTTGACTTGGGCATGGCAAAGGATTTCTCTGGTGAGATATAAAAGGCACACTTTGTAAAGGTAAAGACTGGTCAATAGGAAATCAAAAATCCAAACTTCTGCTCAACCTAAAACAATATATACAAAGTTCAAAAGACAAAGCTGTTGAAAAGCCAAGCTGCTCTGAGCAGGGAGACAGAAAGAGCGGGTCAGGGGCCAGCAGACTGGAGGCCGTATGGAGAGAACAAGGAGAAGGAGTAGGCAGAGGCGCGGAAGGACGATGGCTCTAGGGCTGACCGTCCACGGTCCTGCCCCTGCACCCCCTCCCCAGGAAGGCCCCGCCCTTCTCCTGGCCGGCCCAGACCCTTCTTGGTGTCCTGCTTGTTGCTGCAAGACCCATGGCTGTCTCTGTGTCTCCCCAACCCTCTGATCGGTTCCTTTAGAACTTTTTAATACTCTGAATATATACTGCACTCCTTGAGGATAGAACGTGACCTCACCTCCGTCTCCTAGGAGGAAGGCTCGCCAGTGGTCTAACTGAAGAAATAAAGGGAAAGGCTGACCAGGGACCAGAAGATGGCTACGATACATATAACAAGGCAGTAGCATCCAAAACATAAAGAACACCAACCACCCATCCGACAAAGATAAAGTGAGCAAAGGGTAAGAAGCTGAGAATGCAAAGAGAAAATCTGTTAAACTCTAGGCAGTAACCACTTTAAAAGATGTTCAACCACACCAGGAATCAGGACATGCAAATTAAAACCACAAGGAGATGCTATCTCGTTCCTGGCTGGGCTAAGATCACTAAGCCTGACAGTACCGTGTCTTGGTGAAGGTGTGGGACAAGAAAGAGGAAGTCTTTCCCGCTGCTGGTAGGAGTGTCGGTTGGCATATGAGCACCCTGGGAAGAATTTGGCAAGAGCCCAGAGAGCTGAAAATCCACATGACCCACCACGTACTCCTACGGATGCCCTTTGAGAGAGGATCTCCTAACGTGCAGAAGGAGAAGCATGTACAGGTGTTCACGGAGCATTGCAAAGAAAACCTGGATACCCAGAAGCATCTTCAGTGTTCTTCAATATAGAAAAAGTTGATAAATACATTGAAGAAGAATATGGAGTCATAGTCAATGGATGCGATACTACACAGCAGTCAAAATGCATGAACTAGATTTGTATATATCATTATGAATTGAACTGAACACACTGCTGTGCAAATAAGGAAAACTGCTCCATGATATATATGAGTTATGTGTAGTATCTACATAAGTTAAGGCATGAATGAACACATATGCACACACAAACTAGTACTGTATATTGTTTATGATACTTGTATACGTGATAACACAAGAAAAGCTGGGACTGGAAGGATCCATACGCTCAATCCATGACAGCAGCTGTCCTGGGGAAGGGGGAAATGGAATATGGGAAGGGGAACCAGGACGATTCCAATTCATCTGTAATATTCTACTTCCTTTAGCAGAAATACGTCAAAAGGACAACATATAAATGTCCGTGCATTCTGGGTGGCAGGTAAACAAGGGTTATTTCCTACTGTACTTTGCTGTAGTTTGAAACTATACACAAAACACACACTCATTCTATAGGTGAAATACTATAAACCAAAGGCAAATGCCAAACCAGAGAAAACATCTGCACTAGAGGACAAAAAACAACTTAACCTACCCCAATATGCAAATAACTCAATTAGCAGTCTGATACAGAAAAATAGGCAAAGAGGGGCGCCTGGGGGGATCAGTCAGTTAAGCATCTATCTCCGGCTCAGGTCATGATCCCAGGGTCCTGGGACTGAGCCCCGCATCGAGCCCCATGTCCAGCTCCCTGCTCAGTGGGTAGTCCGCTTGTCCCTCTCCTTCTGCCCCTCCTTCCCCCTGCTCGTGCTCACTCTCTCTTTCAAATAAATAAATAAAATCTTAAAAAAAAGAAAAAGGGGCGCCTGGGTGGCTCAGAGCCTGGGTGGCTCAGCCTTCGGCTCAGGTCATGATCCTGGAGTCCCGGGATCGAGTCCCACATCGGGCTCCCTGCTCAGCGAGGAGCCTGCTTCTCCCTCTGACCCTCCCCCCTCTCATGTACTCTCTCTCATTCTCACTCTCTCAAATAAATAAATAAAATCTTTAAAAAAAGAAAAAGAAAAATAGGCAAAGAATGGGGAAAACAAAACAAATGATAAAGTATGAATGAGCAACAAACAGAAAAATTTTAACTTCTCTCATGATTAAAAAAATTGCAAATTAAAGTAATATACCATCCTCTGTCAGACTGGTAAAGGTTAAAAATACCACTGAGTGTTAGTAATCACACTGAAGACACTCTTCACTCTGTGAGGGATTGTAGAAATTGGAACAAGCTTATAAGAGAAAATTTGGTATCAAGTATCAATGGGATTTAGAAAATTCAGATTATTTTGACTCAAAAATTCTACTGCAAGAATTTATCCTAAGGAAATAATCAGAGTTGGACTTGTTTAAAGGATCTTCATCTCAACATTATTTAACACAGCTGAGGGGCACCTGGGTGGCTCAGTTGGTTAAGCATCAGACTCTTGAATTCGGCTCAGGTCACGATCTCAGGGTCATGAGATCGAGCCCCACATCAGGCTCCACACTCAACGGGGGGTCTGCTTGAGATTCTCTTTCCCTCTCCCTCTGCCCCTCCCTCTGCTTGTGTGTGCACACCCTCTCTAAATAAAATCTTTAAAAAACATTTAAAAAATTAAAAAATAAAATAGCTTTAAAATGAGCATTAAGCAAATATCTAATTCCTATTAAGTAAATGATAGCATTTATACTATAATGAGGCCATTAAAAAAAAGATTGTTTTCAAAAACAGACTTGATGACACAGAGAGATATTTAAAATACTTTAAAAGGTGGTATAAAAGCATGTTTGTGTGTGTGTAACAGACACAGAAAAACATGCTCACACACCTATATGAATACAAAATTATGTGTATGTTCATACACACCAAATGTATACCAAGTGTTAATAGTCATTATCTCTGAGTATAGAAAATGGGTGATTTTTAGTTTTTTTTCTTCCTGCAATGACTATATATTATTTCCATAGCCTGAAACAAATTATAACAGGGTGAGGGAGTGTGGAAAGAGCGATGGGGCATATGCTAGAAGGCTGCAATGCAAGTCTTTAGCTCTCCAAACCTTCTCTCAGGTCCTTCCCTCAAAGTTAGTTACACTCACTTCTGGAAGGTTCTAGAACCTTTGCAAGCATTTTCTGACTCTGAGAAACTAGGGTAACAAGAAGGAGCACTTATAACTAAATGATTTCAGGGTTCACTAACAGAACCCACCTTTACAGCCATGGAAGTTCATTTATAATTCTCTCACTTAGTTGGAACTTTCCCCTCTATAAAAATATTCAAGAGGACTCACAAAGGAAAATGAGAACTAACTAGAACAGCCTCTCTCCACTTTTTGTCCCCATCAGGAACCTGGGTGGGAGCCTCCAGTCCCTCCCTGGGCAGCCACGGCGACAGGAAGGACACAAATAGCCCACCACGAAGGAAAACGATGCCCACACTGTCTGACCACAAGGAAAACCCAAGTCCAGCCTGGGAGTGGGGCTGGCCTGTTTTGCTGCTCCCAGTTCCGAGAGGAAAGGAGGCGAGGCTGCAGGTCCCGCAGTGGCCACTGGAGAGAGCGAGGGGGCCGTCTGGAAACAGCATAGGACTTCCTAGACAGAGATAAGGCTCCTGAGCCAAGGCAGAGAACACCGAGCTCTGGTTCCAGGAATGGGGTCTGGGAAGTTCTAAGGAATCTGAGCTGGGAATTAACTTTCTGTCTTA